TGAATTCTAAGATAATTAAGTTAAGAAAGAGGGAGGAAAAAGAATAATTAGGAGGAAGGCACCATGGCTTTTTTTCCCCAGGATCAAGAGCTGTTGGAAGAACTTTATGGTGCTGTCTAGGTTGACCGTGTCTGTTGTCTCAGGTTTTAGCTATTTATGAAGACATAGTGGTTGGATATGCCTGATTGTTAGCAGATAATTAGAAAATGGTAGCTGATTAGAATAAAGTTATTATACCCCCATTGGAAAAAACAACAACAACAACCTTAAATGGCTACTGAAACTAACTTTGAGAAAAAAGTGTGTTGTTTTTTTTTCGTGTGTCTGTATTTATGGAATAAAAAATTAAAAGTATTTTTCTCATTGGTAAATGTATAAGCAGAATTAGAAAATCTTTTAGGTCTCTTTTTAAAAAAATTGATTTTTTACAGAGAGGAAGAGAGAGGGATAGAGAGTTAGAAACATCGATGAGAGAGAATCATCGATCAGGTGCCTCTTGCACACCCCTTACTGGGGATGTGCCTGCAACCAAGGTACATACCCTTGACTGGAATCAAACCTAGGACCTTTCAGTCTGCAGGCTGATGCTCTATCCACTGAGCCAAACCAGTTTTAGCAGGTCCTTTTTTTGATTTCCCAGTCCACTCTATATAGACTAGAAAAATCTTATTTATAGAGAGGGTTTTCTTTCTTTTTTTTTTTTTTTAAACTATATTTTATTGATTTTTTACAGAGAGGAAGAGAGAGGGATAGAGAGGTAGAAACATCGATCAGCTGCCTCCTGCACACCCCCTACTGGGGATGTGCCAGCAACCAAGGTATATGCCCTTGATCGGAATTGAACCCGGGACCTTTCAGTCCGCAGGCCGATGCTCTATCCACTGAGCCAAACCGGCCTCGGCGAGAGGGTTTTCTTAAACGTATAAAGAAAGCTCTTCAATATGTCATTTAAAAAATGTTAATAAACCATGGTCCTGAGGACTGGGAATATAATGGTGAGCAATAAAGATCTCTTCTCTGTTCTTTTCAGAGCTTCCAGGTAAATGGGGATACAGATAAGTAATTAATTACATAGTAGTGGGCTAATAGTATAGATGTATAGGATACTATGAGGGTATAGATGAAAAACTCTTAACAAAAATAGTAAGAGGTTTCCTGGAGAATGTGACTTATAACATGAGATCTGAAGGATTACAAGTGAGCCAGACCAGGGAAATGGAAGAATTCATAAGAGGGGGAAAGAGATGAAGGCCTGAAAAGCAAGATAGATAGAATTTGGTATATCTGTGGACCTGAAAGACATTTAGTATGCCTGGATCAACACAACTGTTTTGTGTGTGTGTGTGCAGAGGTGGGATTGGTGGGGGAAGTGTAGCATTTGTGATCAATAATTAAGGTTGATTAATTAGATACTTTTCTGTTTTTGTATGCTTATTGGGCACTCTATACTTAATATCTCCACTAATAATAATTTTATTATTATCTAAATAAATGGTTAAATGATAAAATATCTCCACTAAATATCTCCACTAATAAAAGAGAAATATGCAAATTGATCATAACTTCATGATGCCCACCAGGCAATCAGGAGTTAGTATGCAAATTAACCTAACAAAGATGGAGCGTAATTTGCATACACAGGGGCCTAGTGGCCGGGGGTGGGGCAGAATGCTTGTGTCATCACCATGGTGATGATGAAGGGGTTCCCCATCACCCCAGCTGCACAGGGCCTCTGGGCAGCATGGGAAGGTGGGGCTGGAGTGGAAAGGCGGTGCTAGCAGTCAGGGAAAGGAAGGTCCATTCTTGCACAAATCTTTGTGCATCAGGCTTCTAGTTACTCTATAACTAGAAATATTGGAGAAGTTTTTTTTTTGTTTTTTTTGTTTTGTTTTATGGTCAGTTGAGAACCTGGTAGACAGTGATATGTCTGATTTAGGAATGCAGTCTTATATTTTTACAACTGTCTTTTTAAAAATGTATAACCTCATGCTGTACTTTTTATGAAACTCTTGAGTTGAATTCTTATGTTAACGTAGTTCAGGTTATTTCTGTGTCCCCCTTTAGTCCTTTTTGACTACCTTAAAAGGCAGAGTTGAATCTTTAGTGTAGGTCTTGAAGGTCTTTTAATTAGAATTAAACTGCAAAAAGTTTTTATGTTTTCTTCCTGAGAACTTTATGTAGATCAGTAGAGAAGTTTATATACAGTACTTCTTTTATTATAGTCTACCTCTTATAGTTTGTCAGTCACTTAGGAGTTTAACTGTGAGCTAGAAATAGAGTAGCAGTTTATTGCTAATATATTTTGTAATGTGAAATGGGCTAGGCAAATATATGTGTGTGTGTGTGTATGTTTATATTTGAATTTACTTTTTTATAAAGAAGAATACTGCTGAAACCGGTTTGGCTCAGTGGATAGAGTGTCGGCCTGCAGATTGAAAGGTCCCAGGTTCAATTCTGGTCAAGGGCATGTACCTTGATTTCGGGCACATCCCCAGTAGGGGTTTTGCAAGAGACAGCTGATCGATGATTCTCTCTCTTCGATGTTTCTAACTCTCTATCCCTCTCTCTTCCTCTCTGTAAAAAAATCAATAAAATATATTTTTAAAAAAAGAATAATACCCAAGTTGTCTTCTGAATCTTTTTAATTTTATGATTTCTGATTTTGTGGTAATATGAGCTAGTAAACATTGATTTGGATTTGGGAAGTGGCGGAAATTATTTCATCTATAATAATAAAAGAGTAATATGCTAATTAGACCAGATGTACTTCGGATGACCTTCTGGATGGAGCCAGGGCTGTGAGGGAAGCCTAAGTCCTGGGTGCCTGCTGGCGGCTGGAAGGAAGCCCATGTTCCGGGTGCCAGAGGAAAGCTGGTGCTGGCATTTGGGGGAAGGAAGGCCTACTCTTACACAGATTTCATGCATCAGGCCTCTAGTTTTATATACTGGCAGTCCTTGGGTTATGTCCATTCCTACGGCACAATTTTGCCGTAAGTTGGAAACCACCTACATAAGCACCTATATCACTCACATGGAGCACATACATAGCAGTAATGAAGTCAAACAGTAAAATAAATTGAAAAAGAAAGATAATTCCTGACTTGTGGTAAAAAAAAAAATAAAAAACATAAAGCACATGTGTACATACGTCGAAATGATGAAACTTTTTTAAAATAAATACTGTAAATGGGAGATGGTAACATAACCATGAAACGACCTAAGTTGAGTCCGATGTGACCTGAGAACTGCCTGTATATATTTTGCAATAGAAACCCAAATATATAGTTTGGGGAGCGGTTTAGGTTTATATCCACTTTAATAATTTCTCTAAGATAGGTTTTGCTTGTTCATTTTACAATATGGATAAGTCAAAGTGTAAAGATTATACAACTCTTCAAGATCACATGACTATCAAAATTAGAGCCTCTGGAGACTTAGTGAAGTCCTGGTGACCTGCCATCCGGTCCTTTTTCAGGAGAATTTTGAAGTTTGGTCTGTTTTCAAAATGATGATAAAATACGAAATGATGATGAATATGAAAATTAAATATAAACAAATTGCAAAGGTTGAATCAAATATTTTTATGGACCCACCAATATTAATTAGTAAGATTGTGATTATTCTTTAGTAGTTCCAGAGCTTAAACAGAGAGTCAAATAGTTGTTGAATAAAGATCATTTTACATATAAGTGGTCTTAAATGTGTTTCTTAGGACACTTTTGTTTTTAATTTAAATCAATATTATCACTTCCTTTTATTTGAGAAAACTAAAGGCTCATTAAATAGTAAAGCATTGCAGGTCAATTTTTTCAATTTACCTTTGGCAGTTACCTGTAGGAAGTAGTGATAGAGCACCTTCCATTTGTGTTTTATTTGTGGTGGATGTTTTTATTTTAAAGATTAGAAGCTTGTTGCCATTTATTTTTTCTCTGCCCTTTGATATTTTGTCACAATGCTTAGAATTCCTAGATCACTGCCTCTTCTTTAATGCATATTTATTGAGCACTATTAGAGCTGAATACTTTGTAGTTATAAGTAAGACATACTTGGTCTTGGCTGCTTTGGAGTTTATAATCTTAGTGGGGAAGGCAGGCTTTAAACTAGTATGTCAATATTGAATTAATTGCAATTGGGGTAACTTTTGGAGGGAAAGGGTTTTGAGTAAATTTATAGTGGTATCAAGAGGCTTAAGCAGAATTCAAGATTTTGATAGAAAAGATCTACTCTCACATTTAATGGCCATAATCCTTAGTTGGCCCAGAATTTGAACTGATTTAAAAAAGAAAAGTCACAGTGACACAGTTTTCAAAAAAATATTGATTTCAGAGTGTAAGGGAGAGGGAGCGAGAGATAGAAACAATGATGAGAGAGAATCATTGATAGATTGCCTCCCACAAGTCCCACATTGGGCATCGAGCCTGCAACCTGGGCATGTGCTCTGACCGGGAATCAAATCTGCGACCTTCTGGTTCATAGGTCGATGCTCAACCACTCTGCCATGCTGGCTGGACAGTTTTGACTTTCTTTAAGAATCGGGAAAATGTGTTACAAAGCTCCATGTTTACTTCCTAATGCAGAAGCAAGCTTGAAGAACCAGGCAAAAACTTTGGCAGGGAGTGGGAGGAGATGGGGACATTTAATTTTTCTGTCCCACTCTAGATCTATAGAATTTCTGGACGTGGGTCACATAGGTACTTCTTTATTCTCAGGTCATTTTGATGATCAAACAAATAGATCTTGGGACCAATGTTGGGATATCCCAAGAATTGACTGACTTCAGAATTAGAAAAATAGCATTAAATTTAGAAGTACTATATCCAAATGATAGAAGGATTTTTGCTTAAATTGTGAATAACACATTGTGGTAATAATTGGAAATGTCTATATAATGTTTTTAACAAGTAAAACTGCACTTTTGGATTCTCAACAATTGTTGTTCAGTTTAAAAGTACACATTGAAGTTACCTTTTGTGTAACGTTTTCTTTTTTCCTCCCCTTAGGAACTAAACAGCTGAAACACATTTTATTAAAAGATGTGGACACTATTTTTGAATGTAAATTATGCCGAAGTCTTTTCAGAGGATTACCAAATTTAATTACCCACAAAAAATTCTACTGCCCACCAAGTCTCCAGATGGATGATAGTAAGTTTCAGTCATTTATTCAGTTATGCATTTTACAATTAAGTATCCTTATATTTCAACAGTATGTTTGTGTTAAATTATGGATATCCATTTATGGAGAATTTAATGATAGAGAATAAAATTAAATACTTGGCTCAAAGTTATATTCAGCTTCTTTTATGGGCTTTTATACCTGCATTTTTCTTTTGGATTTTCCTATGGATATATGAGGTTAGATTTATGAGTATATTTATTTGTATTAAAATATTGAATATTGTTTTTTGAATGTCCATATGAATCATATAGTTTATAGTCAGGGTTTATGTAAGTTACAGTACTAATTCTTGAAGGGAATATTGGTATTTTTCATCTTTACCTCTTTAACATCATGTTACCAGATATGACTAATCATTTACTAAGATTTCTCTTAAGTGAATGAGAAGGTTGAATGAGTAAATGAGTTGATTTCATGGGAATGATAGAGAGTGTTAATCTTTCTACTGTTTTCTGGGTCTTGATTTGAAGATCAATTTTGTTATTGTTGAAATTTATTTAGATCAGTAATTTTATCAGAAATTGGATTGTATTATGGGCTAATCTGAGATTTGAAATAACTTAATGTGAAGAAGGCAGACAGTAGGCCACTAAAGTGTTTGTGGAACCACAATTGTTGCATCAATTTTTTTATCTTTTGCATACTATGTTGAGGTCTTAAAGGAAATTTTAGTTTAATACTAGTTTTTATCTTTATAAAATACTGAAAAGAGATAATGCTGTTATAAAAATGAACATGAACCAGAAATATAAATTTTAAGATAGCCATTTATAATACATTAAAAAGTATTAGAAGGCTATACAGCAGGTTAATTATTCCGGATTAAAATGCTGTTATTTTTTCTTAACAGACCTTCCTGATGTAAATGATAAACAAAACCAAGCCATAAATGATCTCCTAGAAGCCATATATCCAAGTGTGGACAAGCGAGAATATATTATTAAGCTAGAACCCATAGAAACTAATCAAAATGCCGTGTTTCAGTATATTTCAAGGACTGATAATCCAACTGAAGTCACAGAGTCAAGCAGTACTACTCCTGAACAAACTGAAGTTCAAATACCAGAAAGTGACACTGACCAGTCTAAAACAGTACCAGTTACAGTTACAGAGGAGGAAACTGTAGAGCTCCCTCCTGTTGAGATGGCTGCAGATGAAGTTGCACCCACATCTAATGAACAACCTCAGGAATCACAGGCTGACTTGGAAACTTCTGACAATTCTGATTTTGGTCACCAGTTGATATGTTGTCTTTGTAGAAAAGAATTTAATTCCAGGCGAGGTGTTCGTCGTCACATTCGAAAAGTACATAAGAAAAAGATGGAAGAATTAAAAAAGTACATTGAAACACGAAAGAATCCAAACCAAATCTTTAAAGGACGCAGTAAGAATCTTCTAGTTCCATTAAGTAGGAGTTGTCCAGTATGTTGTAAATCATTTGCTACAAAAGCGAATGTTAGGAGGCATTTTGATGAAGTTCATAGAGGACTAAGGAGGGATTCAATTACTCCCGATATAGCAACAAAGCCTGGGCAACCTTTGTTCCTGGATTCTGTTTCTCCTAAAAAATCTTTTAAGACTCGAAAACAAAAGTCGTCTTCAAAGGCTGAATACAATTTAACCGCATGCAAATGCCTCCTTTGCAAGAGGAAATATAGTTCACAAATAATGCTTAAAAGACATATGCAAATGGCCCACAAGATAACTCTTTCTGGGACAAACTCTAAAAGAGAGAAAGGCCCTAATAATACTGCCAACAGTTCAGAAATAAAAGTTAAAGTTGAACCAGCAGATTCTGTAGAATCTTCACCCCCTTCCATTACCCATTCTCCACAGAATGAATTAAAGGGAACAAATCATTCAAATGAAAAAAAGAACACACCGGCGGCACAGAAAAATACAGTTAAACAAGACTCTGAAAGCCCTAAATCAACCAGTCCTTCGGCTGCAGGTGGCCAGCAAAAAACCAGAAAACCAAAACTTTCAGCTGGCTTTGACTTTAAGCAACTTTACTGTAAACTTTGTAAACGTCAGTTTACTTCCAAACAGAACTTGACTAAACACATTGAGTTGCACACAGATGGGAATAACATTTATGTTAAATTCTACAAGTGCCCTCTTTGCACTTATGAAACTCGCCGGAAGCGTGATGTGATACGACATATAACTGTGGTTCATAAAAAGTCATCCCGCTATCTTGGGAAAATAACAGCCAGTTTGGAGATCAGAGCTATAAAAAAGCCCATTGATTTTGTCCTAAATAAAGTGGCAAAAAGAGGCCCTTCAAGGGATGAAGCAAAACTTAGCGATTCAAAACATGATGGCACTTCTAACTCTCCTAGTAAAAAGTATGAAGTAGCTGACGTTGGTATTGAAGTAAAAGTCACAAAAAACTTCTCTCTTCACAGATGCAATAAATGTGGAAAGGCATTTGCCAAAAAGACTTATCTTGAACATCATAAGAAAACTCATAAGGCAAATGCTTCCAATTCACCTGAAGGAAACAAAACCAAAGGCCGAAGTACAAGATCTAAGGCTCTTGTCTGGTGAGGAACAGTTAACAGAGTTTTGCTTTTTTCTCCCCATCGAACTAAAAAAATCATTTGACCATAATTTATAGCTGGTTCCATTTTAACACATTTGCTTCCATATATCTTATGGCAATGGGAACTGCAAGAGTAATGCACATATTGCATTTCCTCTTCAGTGACCTTTATTCCAGTGGCTTGGGAACAAAACCTAACTTCAGAACTTACCTTCCACAGGACAATGCAATATAGTTATAGGTAGATGGCACAGGGTCAGTGCTTTCCTCTCTATGCTGTAAAATATACATTTATATTGGCTTATGTTTACAGTAGAATTCTTCTGTTTAACTTTGCACAGGTTTAATTTGATTCAGTGACTTAGTCTACTAATAAATGCATTGTAGGAAAGTTAAATATATTAGAAGAATGAATTTGTGAAGGCGATAATTTTAGGGAAAAAGTCCTTTGAAGCACTGTAATTATTGTAAAAATTAATCTGTGACGGCTAAATAAAGTACTGCACTAAAAAAACAAATCCCAAAATTGAATTTAGAATGATTAGCATTATTATTTACATTTAACATAGTGCTTTTAGGCAAAGGGGGAAACTTGATAAAAGTTTGGAATTTCTTTTTCCTTCTCCTTAGGAGTATTTTTAAGTTTGATCTATGAGAAGAATGATTACTCCTCTTATTTTTTCCTTTTTTGTTTAAATAACCTTTTTGGTGATCATTTAAAAAATATAGTTAATATTATTAAGTAGGGATTAAAAATTTTTTTTGTGTGTGTGGTTGTGCATTGCAAGAAAAGTGAAATCCCTGTTGGGAAGAAAGAAAAAATAAGACTTTTTTTTTTTTTTTTAGGAGGTTTTGGAACAAATACAGATTTTTTTAAATGCAATATAAAATAAGGAGTAGATTCCCTATCCTTTTTTTTCAAGTCTCTATATATTTTTAATTTAAAGTTTACCTCCAGTACCTATGTCCCCTGAGTTAAGGCAAGTAATATATTTAATTAGTATTAAGTTAGTTTTGGATTCAGGTCCTCAAGAGTGCTGAGTAGGTTAAATGTTGTGGTTTGATTATAACATTTTTTATTTTTGTGGAAAACTTGTGATGAAACCATTCTTTAGAAGTTATTTACTATTGTATAATTTTAAAAACAAGCTTTGATTGGTGAACTCAAAAGTGTTCATTTATTCCATTTCTCCTCAGATAACTTCAAGTGATGTACGAAAAGGTTTGGAGTTCATATTTGTGGAAAGACTTTAAATTGGTGTTAGAACCACTAAACGTCTTCAAATGGTACTATGAGAAAAAAAAAAAAAAGAAAAACATTTTCATAAATATTTGACTGTAACTGCTGTTTTCTCACTAAAAGGATAATTATAACCACTTGTTTCAAAGGCTCTGCCTTTCCCAGCACTTTTAAGTAGCTGTGACATTTATATATTGTCATCGCAGTCCATCAGCTAACCAGTGTCTACAAAAATGTTACAAATTTTGTTTTTCAAACAATTTGCTGATTAAAGCAATCAACAACCTGAAGAAAATATCACCACTGGTGATTTTTAATTGACAAAGACTTGATACCTTAGTGATTTTAGTTTTGTTCCACTTCATTTGGCAAAATTTTCATCTGGATTGTACAGATACCTGGTTTCCTAGTGAGTGTATGTTATAACCGAAAGACAAATTAGTATCAACACATTATACATATTTAGCTTACTAATTATTGGTAATTACTTTTACATTCGTTTATTTCTAACTTGTTCTCCAGCACTTAAATGTTTGGAAGTTTCATTCTAAAATATATACTTACAGAAAAGTTCCAGTTCATTTTCACCCATGATCATTACATTTTTCATTTGTAAACATCTGAGGTTTTTATGAAAATTTAACATTCCCCTATTTTTCTTTAAATTTTATACAAAGCACTTTAATGATAGATGCAACTTAATTTTTCAGTTTCTATTTTTTTAAAAGACCACACATTTACTAATGTTAATATGAAGGTAGTAAATAGCTTACCGATATTTTATGGATGCTGACAATCCATGCACAACCACTTCTTACGATACTAGTTTATTTCTTTAAATATTGCTAAAAAAGGCAGTTGGGTGTAAACCCTGATTTTTTTCCTCCCAAGTAAAATCTGAAATGACCACTTTAGCTATTTGATTCCTACTGTAAAATTTGGAAAATAATGAATTCTTGTTCATTTTTATAATCAAGATTTTAGGAAAAATAGAAGTACACCTATCTTTATGAAATTTTGGACAGGTTTTATGTATCAATCTTTTGTACTTTTTAGGGAATATTTTATTTTTTAGTAATTTTTGTCAAATTATAATTTTAAAAGGTACAGCAGAGAATATACCATGTTTTTATATAGGTTCATACCTGTACTTAGGAGGGACCCTGCCCATCTATATACTTTTGTATAAAATTTTAAAATGTTGAAGATCCACAAGGTCATAATAAAATACTTCTATAGCTAGAGAAACATTTACCCTCCCTAGTGCTTTGCACTAAAATATACTGTGAAAGGAAACTAGAAAGACTGTAACTGTTGCTGGAAATGTTCTATATTGAATGTACATGCTCTTGTTGGAAAAATGTACTATATGTGATGGAAATAAACCAGACTTGGAGTTATTTCAGCTAAATGTGCTTCAACAAAGGTGCATTGGTTGAAACTTAAATGTTTTATTATCAAATTTAAATTTATTCAGTGACTATGAGCAGCTACACTTGAATTATATCTTGATAGTTTTATTTTTAAAAATTAGAGTTATAATTTCTCTTTAATTTAAAAACAGATTTACTTTTCCACATATGGAAAACTTGTACTTATAGGTCTAACTTTAATGATTAATAGTGTAATATATTTAGGGATCTAAATGTGTAGGTGGTATTTCATTTATAAACCATCTTCATTAGTTGCACATTATTAAACATGTATGTTTGACTTTTGCAAAGTGTTATCTTTTATGCATTCCTACACACAAGACATATTCCAAAGATACTTTCCAGACTTAAGTACCTAAAACCAGTGAAAAGATAAGAGAATTCTTAAAAAGCTTGGGTTAGCTATTTACCACAGCCTTTCTTCTGTTTGTTATCCTTTTCTTCTTGTTTTACTTCTTAAATACTATATGGAAGAAAGAGGGAAGCCCGATTGCTGGAATTTTCTTCACTCACCTGTTTCCACATGTTTTCTCTGTCATAACTCTAGGGCTACACAACAATTTAGAAGGAGAGACAGAGGGTTCAAGGACTGTCAAAAATATGTGAGTGACTGAGAAAAAAATGAAACTTTGTCAGGACTGGTTTACGTTAGAAGGGCCTAGATTAGGAATATTTATCACAATAACCAAACTAACATCACGGCAGACATAGAAGTTAGAGGCTAAACTGGGTCCAGCTTAGAAATGTAGAATAAACAAGTAAGAAGTGATTTGAAAGTCTTTGTTCTTCCTATTCCTTTCTGGTCTTCTTTCTTATTTTTTGATTTTATTTTGAATCTTGTTCTCTGTCAACTCAGAGGCTTAGGGTTGAGCCTCTTGAGAAGAAGCCTAGGAAATGGGTGCTGGAAGCCATTTTGCATGTAGGCTATATAAACAAATATAGCACATTTTCTTCTTGGTGTAGGGTGGTAAAAGAACCATCAGAAACTGCTTATAATATATTAAGACCTATCTCTGGCTATAGATAATAACCACCTTTGCTGCTATTGGCTCAATTAAGAGTTTTTCTTTAGAATATAACTCATCTTTCTTTCTGAAGATGCGGTCCTCTGCTAAGTGTGATGAAAAGTAGAAATAAAAGAGATGGCTTGCACTTCAATTTCCTAAGTTTGGGTAGTACAAGTGAGGGCTGGATGAGGTATGGCTGACACTGGGCAGATATTCATTAGCAGATGTACCTTGAATGCACAATGACTTGGTTCTTGTCCCTTATTTTTTCTTCTGTACTCCTTATTCCAAGAGAAAACCCTTGAAGAATATATACATATTCTTGAAAAAAATATGTAAATTACCCATATTTAATTTTTAGTTTTGTATATAGGAGTCAAGTTTTCTATTGACACATTGCTTGCATTGTTTAAAAGTACCTTAACAAATTTTAGGAATATGTTGTTTTATGGTCAATAGTCTATCCTGTTTGTTTTAAAGAGTCTGTGGATGCAGTAGCAGCGGGAGGGGAGTGGGGAGTGGGGGTGTTGTTCCTTTGCTGTGGCTTGAGGCTGCAAGTATAGAAAGAGGAATTTCCCAGTAGGTTTTATGACAACTAGTTATGGAGATAGAGAGGCATAAGTGGATTCATTTATTGTTGTGAAGTTGTAAAAGATTTCTTCAAATAACATGACCACTGAAGATGAGATAGAAATAATTCTAAAACTTTGGAAATGAGGTTTCCAGGTTTATTGCAGTGGCCTGTGGAAGTATTCCAGATCTTGAGGAGTTTTTAGAAGTCACTTATCTAACGGACTCCATAGATGACCAGAATTATGATTTAGCCATGGTTCTGTTAGTTGATCTGAAACCATGCTCTAGTCTAGGATATGTGTAGCATGCTGTTGGCAGTGCTGTTAGACAAGATCCTTCAGTACTCTGTTATTCTTTTCCTCTTCTCTGACTTGAAGAGCTAATCGAAACCTCAGGATTGAGGAGTAGGGATCAGCAATCTAAGAACTATTATTGGTTGTCTGGCTTGTAAGTCATCAGGCACATGATAGAATGCAGAATAAAACATGTTTCATTTAAAGTCACAATTATTATTCTTTTTTACTTCGCAAATTTATTTCTCCTCTCTTTAAATTTTTTTTTCTGTAGACTTTTCCTTTGACTCATGTTTTCAGCTTCCAACTCTTATCTTTCCTGTTTTCTCTTCTGGGTAACAAGAGATGTTAGAACCAAGATAGCTAATATATTTTTTAAGAAGGCAAGAGGGTGTGAAGTCAGCTCATTTCCTCCTGAATCTTAATATTCTATATTCTATTTGTCAGGTTTATTATTTAATTTTAGAGTTTTTCCTCTGCATGTATTCACTAGTGTACCACAAACAGAGGGGAACACAGGTGCATCTGGTTGGGAAAATGCCCAAGGTTGGAGGTTGTGCTGTGTGCCTGCTCAGCAGAATTAATTTGCTTGATGGTGTATTTTTGAAATCAGGGTCTATGTCTTGATAATTTTGTTTAGTGCCTAGCATATTTGATGTATACCAGGCTCTTTAAATAAATGTTTGATATTAAAGTAAGCAGTAGCCTTTTCCATCTCAAAACCATGTTGTCATATACTTTGACACTTTGGGTCTTAAGTTCATAAATTTTTACTATCTTAGATTTCACTTATTTTAGGAAATATCATCAGTACTAAAATGAGAGTTTATGATAATAAAGAGAATTCTTAGCTAATAATAATGAATGTTCATGGAGTGCTTATTGTATGCCAAGCACTCTCCTAATCCTTTACATGCATAGTGCCCCTAATTCACCAACAACTCTCTCAAGTAAGAACTGTTACTTCATTTTCCTCATTTTGTAGCACAGAAAATTGAAACTTAAAGAAGGTCAGTGATTTATTCAAGCTCACATCAGTAGTGTCACAGAATTGAGACTTGATCAGTATACCTAACATTTGGACATTTGCAAAGCACATTCACTACATTACCTTATTGGTAGTTTAGTGTAATGCTTTGGAGCCAGATTAGTTGGTGAAATTTCTGGATCCACAAATGTTTTACTGAATGACATTGTGCAAGTTACTTAACCATTTTGTGCTCTAATTATCTCACTTATAAAATAGGGATCCCAGTACTTCTTAACCTCATAAGTTGTGAGGATAAAATGAAAAAGACATTTAAAATACTTAGAACAATGCATGGCATGTTACAATAAGTGTTAGGATTACTGTAAGTGATCAAAATGTGGGAATTTTTTTATTACCTCTTAAGTTTAGAAAGTTTTAGAGAAAACTTTATTGCTACACATCACGTTTTAACTGCTGCTTTTATTTAATTGAGACAATGAAGGTAACGAATTTTCTATCAGTTCTTTTCTAATAAGATATTAGTAGTTTATTATTCTTACTCATAGGTGTTATCTTGCAAAAGGTGTTAGGTAATTGTAAGCACATTCATGTAAGTTACACTTTATTTTTATGGTTACTCCCCAGAGTAACCATCTTAAAATTCTCATTACGATATGTTTTGTCACACAAATATTTTATTCTTGGTCATGTGTAAAATATTGATATGGAATACATATTAACATAGCTGAAATAACTTCTGTAAAACAAAAGTAGATATGTGGTATTATTTGAGAGAAAGCATTCAATTATGGAAAGAGTGGATTCTTCAGAAGAGCATGATTTAGGCTAAGCCAGGAGTTTCTTTGGTGAGTGTGTTATAAAAAGATAAGAAATAGCACTTTTCAACAGTCTTGCCAATGGTAGTCATTAGTGGCAGTACTCCAAATTTCAACTGAGGCAGGCCCAAGTACTATTAAATTATCTGCTGAGAGAGTTCACCCACACACCTGACGGTTATTGATTCAGCTTTTTTTTTTTTTTTTTTTAATCCTCTCCTGAGGATACTTTTTTTAGGGAGAGGAATGGAGAGAGATCAGTTGGTTGCCTTCCATACAAACCCTCACTGGGGAGCGAACCCGTAATCTAGATATATGCCCTGACTAGGAATCGAAGCCACGACCCTTTGGTGCACAGAAAGACACTCCAACCAACTGAACCATGTGGCCAGGGCTGATCTTGCCTTTTTTTAAACAATAAGATGATGATTTTAGAAATTTCAATGTTTAGGGACTGGTATAATTTACAACACCAGAGAACCTTGTTTCTAGGTTTGGAACTTAAGATCAAGTGTGTGGCTTCTTAATAATTCTGATATTCAGCTACTTTTGTCAGGTGTCTGGAGCATATTTCTGGCACATGGAATATTGTAATGTTTAAACAACAGAATGGTGTGGTTGAAAAAATAGCCAGACCGAAATAAAAAAGCCCCCATTTGGAATACTTGGAGCAATAACAACTTGCAATGTATTTGTTCTACATAATCTGATAACACTTCCACTACAAAAGTATGTAGTGATGATATTCAGAGGAGAAATTAATAACATCGGAATGAACCAAAATGAACCTTAAGTACATATAACGCATTACAACTCAGGTTTTCAATCCATTTTATCTGTGGATTATCCTGAAAGTAAATTAGTGCTGAAAAGTAGAATGTGACTGTAGTCAAACTTCCTAAGCTGTACAAAGTGGTTTTTTTTTTAACCTGAGGCTATTGTGGGTGCTTTGGTAGATCTGAACCCCAAAGTACCTGCTAGTTGTGACTGGTAGCTTTTATTTTGGATGGGAACAGAAAACAAATACTTTTCTAAGAAAAAAAATAGGGAAGCACTAGGAATATTGTGTGCTCAAGTGACTGAATGATATGGGAAAAAATTAGCTTAGGGAAAGGATTTTTATATAGTTTCTTTGAATTTTTGAGAGAATTTAAGCTTCTGTAGGAGAGTGGTTATGTCATTTTCATGCCTTTTGGTCATTAGATGTTTATTGAGTTCCAACCAGTTAACTAGATCTAAGTAGCACAATATCTTTAAACCACAGATGCTACAAGATGGAAGTACTAGTAAAACTCACAGTGGCTTGGATCACCAGCCACCAAACAACTTGCCAAGTCTTCTAATTGCAGGTGTGTGACTGCATGTGCATACATGTATACAAATACTGGGCTATGTTGGTGGTGGTGGTGTGTGTGTGTGTGTGTGTGTGTGTGTGGTTTTTTTTGGTTGCAAACACAGAGTTACTTGGTCTGTAGCTTGTAAGGAGGGGTTTATTGGAAGGTTTTATGTTGGGAAATAAGGGAGATAGACGTGGCCAGGCCTTATAGGAGGAATCTAGGAGTGTTTGTTCAAACTGGCTTCACCATGTAGATTTCATAAGTGGGGT